CCCTTCTGCCCTTACCTTCTACAAGACTCTGCCCTAGGCAACTGGAATTGTCTACTTATTCCTTCCTCACAGGGTACTTTCTTAGAAATAATGACACTCCGCTGACACTAGCAATTAGTAACTATACTAATAATAGCATTAACAGTTGACATCTCGCATTTTACATGTATTATGTTTCTCAAACTATGGTGAAGGACAAGTTTTCTTTCCACGATCTGTCAAGGATCAACACTTTCATAAAACACAATCAAACGAATTATTAGAAAAATGAAAGTAAAGACAAAAAGCACAAGCCTAAATTTGTATTAGATTTGACTGACATAAAATTCTGTGAAATCACTATAAAGTTTCGAATCCTATTTCTATATTTATCTCATCATAGACCAGCGTAACAAATATAACAACTTTGAGTAGCGCTATATTAGCTCTCTCAATCCTTAGAATAATGAAGTAGCTATGATCATCCCTGCTAGTCTGAGAAGGACTAAGCCACCAAAGTCCAGTGAAATTGACGCTAAGGGCCTGCTATCCCTACCCTCATCTAGACCAGAACTGGCAAACAGGTTTCACCTCCTGTGCCTACTTCAACAGAGGGTAGCTTTCTGAAGCGCCATGTTGAGAAAGGTTCTGAGGCCTCCCTGGGCTCAATGAGAAAGCAGTTGATGACTGACCAGGCACCTGTGCCATGGAGACAAGAGTGGCAGCTTAGATGCCCTGCATTTGCCACCCGGGATCAACATTTTTCCATGTTCATAAGTAGAATTTACCTTGCCATTCCTTTTCCTGGAATGTTCTCCCAATATATGTATGGTTTTCCTTACTTCTTTCAAGTCTTTACTTAAACCATTTTGCCAGCGAGGCCTCCCCTAGTTTCCCTAACTAAAATCCCAAGTCCCCGCCCCTTCAGAACATCTCATATCCTGTTCCCTGCTTTATTTCTTCTCCCTGCTCAGCACTTACTACCACCTAATATCCTTATTTATTTTGTTTGCCTGTCTCTGCCACTATAATGTACATTCTATGAGGGCAGAAATTTTGTCTCTTCTGGTCACTACTACATCCCCAGAGCCTAGGACAGTAACTGACATGGAAATGTCTGTTGAGTGAATACTTCCAAATTGAACGAATGAAATCATAAGGTTTTGGGGATGGGGTGGGTGGTGGGAGTTTGGGTTCACACAGTAACAACATACCTGCAGTCACCTTACACGGGGAGACCCCATGGTAGGTCAATCTGCACAGGGTGCAGAAGGCAAAGTTGCAGCTGGAGCAGATGCCCATGGTGCAGCCAGGCTCCTGCATGACAGGCAGCTGGCAGCAGGGGCGGGGGCAGTACACCACATCCGCCATCAGGTCCAAGGTGGACTGGAGGAGAAGGCGGTCATAACGGGCAAATAACTCTGCTTCCACTAGCTCTTTGACCTGGAGGAAAATACAAAACACCATAGGTTTGATGATTCCACAACCAGTTCTGATCCTGAGGAGATTCTTAGGATGCTGGTGTAAACCAGATGGACATATAGATTAAAACCTCTACCTCAGCCTGAGCAAGAGTGAGACCCACCTCATCTCTACAAAAAATAGAAAAAGTAGCTGGGTGTGGTGGTGTACACCTGTAGACTCAGCTACTCGGGAGGCTGAGGCAGGAGGATCACTTGAGCTCGGGAGTTCGAGGCTGCAGTGAGCTAGCATGATGAGGCCATCTGCACTCCCACCTGGGTGACAGAGGGAGACCCTATCTCAAAAAATGAAACAAAAAAACCCTCTATCTCACTTCAATATCAAACCAAGTATGGTACTAGTCCATATCTTGACTGAGATGGTGGTTGCATGGGGCTATATCTTTGTCAAAACTAAGCAAACTGTACAATTTAAATGGGTATAGTTTATTGTAAGTAAAATTATGCCCTAATAAAGTTGAGTAAAAAACCAAAACACCAAGTAGGCTTTATTTATGCTAAAGTCTGTAAACAAGTGGGGTAATCATTCCAAGGGATTCCCCCTTCAGATCCCAACCTCATAAAAAGACAGGCCAGTGCTTCCCCAAGGTTGATGGGATCCTAGCAGATATACAAAGTAAATCACTAGAATTACTTCATGATTACTTTTTTATTGCCTAGGACCGCCCATTCCAAGGCCAGCAAAGGAAACATTTACATTTGCTGAAACGGTAGTATAAGACCACAGCATTGTTACTGGACACAGTGAAACAACTTGTGAGTTGGCTTCAAGGCCTTCAGGTGCTCTGGGAGCCTTGGGAAGTTCTAAGAAGGTATCTCCCTTTGTGAAAGATAATTAAGAGGCAACTGTCAGCAGGGTAAATATTTACCTGACCAGGCGTGGCCACTGAAGGGCACTTTGGTTCTGGGCAGTTGAGGCACTGAACCTGGCCGTCTCTGATCTGGATTTCAAAGTAGTCCTTCAGACAGGCTTTGCAGTACACATGCCTGCACTCCAAGAAGTACATGCATTCGCTACCCAGCTTCTCACAGAAACAGATATTGCACAGGAACAATTTACTATTAAAGCATTTTATCTGCTGAGCTTGATCAAAGTCCAAGATTTCCTGGATCAGACTTGACAATGATTCCACATCCTGCACGGCTCTCTCGTCCACAACTTCCTCTTGGTCTACATCAGATCCAGCAGCTCCTCCAAAATCTAGCTCTGTTTTGGGAGAGGCTTGAGCCATCCTTCTCTGCACTTTTTTCTGAGAACCCATCTTAAGTTCAAAAGGAGAGACAATATTCAGGTATGCTAGGGTCTCTTCCTTAAGAAACTGCATCCAGGCAAACAGGACCACGCTGCCACGGTGTTCTTCCCATAGGTTGTCTAAGTGCTTGCATAGGGCAGATAGCTAGGAGAAAACACACAAGGTTGCTGGTGAGTTTGAAAGATGATGCTCTTGCCAACTTTCGGTTTCCCTAGAAATCTTTTTAACTTGAAAGTTAGGCCCTTACACTTTGTAACACTATTTTTTACTGCTGTGATACACTGTGCTACAAAATAGTACCAACATTCTTTTCGAAGCACTTTTTAAACTATTCAGCAACATGAGCCAGAGTAGAATGTAAAGTCAGAAGCAAGAAGTGCCATGAAAACAAGAGAAACAGCAAGACTCCATAAGAAGGAAAACTAGATTTACAGTTGAGCCACTGAAACGGAGGACTTGGTCTGTTCTTTACTCATTCTTTACTTGTTCTTTGTCTTAGCATTGCTATATTATGTCACGTAGGAGAAAGAGATCTAGTTCTAAAATGAACTTTCTCTTCCTTTCGGAGTCCTAGCCCTTTGGACTAGGGATCATGGAATAACGGTTACAAAGAACAGTTTAAAAATTAAATTCTAACTTTCAGTCCTATCAAAAAGCCAACTCATCTGAAAAAATTACTAACAATTCAACCTTAGTCCTTGTTTTTCCAATTTACAAGCTGCTTTTAACTAAGCAATGTGGGCTTACCTGAGCTTCTGGCTAATGGAGGGAAGGCAGACTGACTCTGACTCTAGACATAATCACAAGCTCTCAACATGGTTTGGCTGCCACAGAGAAAGCTCACCCTTCCTAAGCTAAGCAATAAAAGTTAAATTATTTTGACTTTTCCTCTTTAAAAGTGGTCTGTTCAATTCGAAAGGCAAACATAAGAGGATTTTTCCATTAGAAATATAAAATATTTGTAAGTAGAGCTCAGGAATTATAAGCAGCTTTCCTTTTTTAGGTAAACATCCAAAAATAAGCCTTCCAGATGGCAAACAAATTTTGTAAATTTAAATAACAAGAAGACTACATTTTCTGTTCCTTACTTTGTTCAGTGCTGCGCAGGAACTACCTTAAATACTTATGGATGAATTGAGACTGGACAACTAATGCTTTTTTACATTTGCATGAATATGATCACAAGATCAACCATGCTTTTTAGGAATCTGCTAAAATCCATGAATGTGATAAATACTAAAAGGGAAGCTCGCAGCGAGCTGTGTGAGCCACCAAGTGCAATGAAGAAGCCATTCTCCTCCGTCCTTTTTACTCCAGTCCCTTCTCAAAAGAGGCAGCTGGGATGCATGTGAATGTGAAGGGTGGAGGAGATAAAGAGCAAGAGAAACTGTGTGCAGGTACACTGAGGGAGGAATAACGGAAAATACTAGAATACTAAACCTACTTCCATCTACCCACCCCAATTCAGAGAATGACAGGTCCATGTGTCAATTTCACTATCGACAGGTCAGATTGATAATGCCAAGGAATCAGGGTGCAGCAAAGAAGAAATAAACCAAGAAGGAACATAAGAGACCAATTAAAATGTCAATTACATGCATAAAAATTTATTTGACAAAGAATTCTACTATAATTTTAGCTGTAAAACAAAAATGAACAACCCTCCCCCAACCCACCTCCTCTCCTCCCCCAAAGCCAGCATTTGGTAGATGTGCCGGTTGGCTATAATCTGAAACTGCAACCATACATCCAGTTAATCTACCCGTTTTGTGCATGTGTGTGCACGCACACGCATAGATGCAAAGTATCAAGAGCTCCCTGGAGAAATGGAACTATGAATATTAAATATCTAAATAATTCAGTCAACTATCAGTGACTAAATGTCAAACAGTCTTGGTATTCCTGGGCAAATAATCAACTGTCTTGCATCTATTGCTTCTGGTACAGATAATAGAATGCAAAGTAATATTCCTTTTTATTCTACATGTATTATTGTCCTTTTTTCAAGTTTAATCTTGTTTTTAAACCACAAGCTAAATTTTGTAAAAGCACTCTCATCTAAAAGATTAGACTGGACTGGTGGATGGAGGCATGACAACTATATGATCAAAAGGGAAAAACTGATGAGCTATTCCTTGAGGTCAGCAACTCTTGACAGCTTTTGTCTTAATATACATCAGCCTATCAATCTTCATCAAAATTTCTAGGAAAGTAGCTGCTATTGATCCATTATCTATCCCAGAATACTTAAGATTAGCTTCAAGTCATGTTTATGTCTTAATCAAGAGTTGAGGTTGTTACTATAAAAGGATATATAACCCAGAGGAAATCAAGGTTCTTAATATAAGGTCTCGGGCCTTAATGAGCTCTCTATAGGAATTACACACATTTCAATTTGTGTGCATTTATGTCTATGTGACACCAGTCAACATTTGTTATTAACATACAGATTTTTTTTTAAAGAAAAGCAATCATATTTACTCAGAAAATTTGATTATAACTACATTAACTCAATCTTTAGTCCTAATTACAATCAAATCTTTCATTTAAGGAACGGATAAGAAACTAAGAAAAAAAGTAAGGACAATGAGGAGGACCTCATAGTCTCCATTACAATAGTTTAAATTAAAAAGAGCAAGACAAGAAAGGAAACAACACACTCGATTAAAAATTACTCCTACTGCACTTCATAATGATTAATTGTTTTAATCACTGCCATTCCTTTTTAAGACACCAAACATTTTCAATTCATCAACATTAGGATTCATGAAGTCAAGGGGAAAAAAATTATAAAATCAAAGCCATTTGTTCTCTTCATGCACTGAATTTAAGATCATCAAGGTAGTCTTCAATTAAAGATGATTTTTTAAGTTTCTAAAAATGGATAGGAAAAATTAAGTTTCGGGTCTAACCTGAGTTGGTGACAGCCATTTGCCACTAAGTGTGAATGAAGGTGGGGAGGAGGATGGATAATCTGGTGGCAGTTCAAAGTTCAGCACAAGAGGAGGCAGAAAGCAAATGGTGTATTCAAAGCCACTATTCTGGAGACACTCATTTGAATTGCCTGAACCAAAAACAAAGATTAGAAAGGATCAGTTGGTCAACACTTGAGTGTCTATTACTGTTGAGCAGTGCTCAAGAAAGACTTAATGCTTTAGTTGAGGGGGTAAAAACGCTCCCATAAAGCACTATTTCCTAATTTTAACTTCATAGCCACCACCTTAAAAAAAAATCTTATAAACCCTTGAAAAATCTACCAAGCACCATGAAATGTATAATGAAGATACACAACTTATTCTTGTATACATTTCTGAGTACAATTCCTAACACTAATGACCAAGTAACAACACAATGTTGTGTTTTCTTGTTGGTTTGGTTTACAGATGATTAAAGACACAATCTAGAGAAAAGGATGTTTATTTCTACCATACAGCCATGACCTACTTAGACCAGTATGCACCAACTATCCATGAATCATAGCTGAGAAAATCTATACCAACACAGTGATCTCAAGCTTGAGAGCATGATACAACACACAACACTCTCACAATCAAAGCTTCATTTAAATTGTCACACTTACTTTCTTTACTCAATCCATTTCTAGTAGAAACATTTTGAAAAAGTATATACATCAAGGTCTTCTGTGAATGTATCAAAAGTAGTTTTGTTTTTTCTGAAGCAAAAGGTCACAGAGTAACAGCATGTATCACATTACGGCAGTTGAAATGATTCCGGAAACCAAATAGTATTAACAACCACCACGGTACTTTAGAGTTTTCCAAGTGTTTTCACATACATTATTTCATTTTCTCTTTGATTATCTCTATTTAACAGCCAATCAGCTGGGCACAGTGCCTCACACCTGTAATCCTAGCACTCTGGGAGGCCAAGGCAGGAGGATCGTTTGAGGTCAGGAGTTTGAGACCAGCCTGAGCAAGAGTGAGACCCTGGCTCTACTAAAAAAAAATTAGCTGGGCAACTAAAAATAGAAAAAATTAGCTTGGCGTGGTGGCATGTGCCTGTAGTCCTGCTACTCGGGAGGCTGAGGCAGGA